TCATGTTTCTATGCGTGTCTGAAGAACAAGAAGAGCATAATTTATAATTACATGAACGTTTTTGTACTTCTGCTTATTCTAAACTTATTCATGTTTCTATGCGTGTCTGAAGAACAAGAAGAGCATAATTTATAATTACATGAACGTAGTTTGTTCTTCTGCTTATTCGAAACTTTTTCATGTTTCTTGGCGTGTCTGAAGAACAAGAAGAGCATAATTTATAATTACATGAACGTAGTTTGTTCTTCTACTTATTCTAAACTTATTCATGTTTCTAGGCGTGTCTGAAGAACAAGAAACACGAAAGTTGAAAAAGGTCCAAAGTTTCAGCCTAAAAGGAAGACAAATCTGAAAGCTAGATTTGATTTTATTTTTTCTCCTCTTGTCTGATCGAATAATGAGAATCTGACCGATAAGTTACGTTGCGTACCAAAGGTCTCAATAGGTGGAGCGCGTTTTTACGGCAACAAGTGACGAACCGTAAACCTGCTGATTCAAAGTTAGGAAATATTAAGAACAAGGCCACGCCCGGTCCGAGAAAGCTATATGGTAATCTGCAATCATTCTATTAGTATTGTAAAAAAAAAAAAGTCAACTGTAACTATATATCTACCCGCCCCCCAGTGGCCCAGCGGTATGTCTGCGGACTTACAACGTTAGCATCCGGGTTTCGATACCCGTGATGGGCAGAGCACAGATAGTCCTTTGTGTAGCTTTGTGCTTAACTACAAACCAACCAAACAATATATCCACCATTGTTACGGAACTCTTTTTCCAAACTATTGTATAGTTGGACAACGTTTCGGCTTTCTAGAGTAGGCACACATTTTTCCATGCATTGCAATTACAAAACGTTCTTTTTCTAACATTTAACTGGTTTATAAGTTTTACTCGACAGTTTTAACATCACTATAAGTGATAAGATTTTCAAACTACCCCGGAGGAGCTACTTTAATTAATGATTTTTTTTTAGAATTACACATGCCAAATTGTCTTCGTTAAAGTGTATTTTGCTTCATGTGATACTGATATCAATGCAGATTAATGTGCACGCATGTGCAGCGAAACGTCGTCCAAGAAAATTTAGCCAAATCACCCATATTCTTCCTTAATGAAGCACCGATTTTCAAGAACCAGATCTGAATCTCTGAAACAGAACTTGACAAACATATTTAAGTTATATATATATATATTTTAAAACTTCCTCGTGATTTTAACTGTAATTATTCGTAAGGATTTTAGTGTTAACCTGGTGAACTAAAGTTTTCATATTAAAGCCTTATTTACGAAGACCTTTTAACTGTTTGAACTCATTAGT